GGCAAGGGAGGTGTCCTGGCCTTGGGGTGGGGCAGCGGGTCTGCAGAGAGGCAGGTGACCTCGGATCTTCCCTGCCTGCAGACCCAGCTCTCCCTGCCTTGCCCTCTAGTCCTGCTGAGCTGCCCCCCACCGAGTCTATGTGCTAGGTGAGGGGCCAGTGTCCTCTCTGTCCTCTCCAGCCCAGCCACCCCCCTCCCCCGCCCCGGGAAGCTCGGGTTTCCTGGCTGAGGTTTATCGGGGTCATCAGCTGCTCTGAGCAGGCGCCTCCCAGGGCCGCCGACAGACACTTGAATTTCAACCCTTCTCTGCTTGACACCTCGGGGCACGCTGCCCCCCACACACAAAGCACCCCATTCTCCTCCTGCTGCTCCTGCTTTCCAGAACCTGCCAGATGCTGCCCCCCCCCCCCACACACATATCCATCTGTAACCCGAGTTGGGCCCCCACAGTAGGCGCCTGGGCCCCCCTCGCAGTGGGCGCCTGGGCCACCCGCCCAGTGGGAGCTGGAACCAGCCAGGCCCCCTGCCTTGCGCGACCCCCTGCCGGGGCAGGGACAAATGAGGACAGGGGCACTTCCAGGCCTGCCCCCCTCCACCCCAAGAGTGATGGGCTTCAGGTGCCCGGGGCGGGGGCACCTTCGGGGCCTTGCTGGCAGTGGGTCCCAGATCACCAGAACATGCACAGATGGACCCTGGGCCCCGGGAGACGGCCTGGGCCTGAGCTGCACTCCTGGTGCTGGGAGTGGTGTGGGCACATGGGACACGGGCTGGGCTCCCTGAGGTGGGATGGCCTCAGGAAGGGTCCAGAGGGGGCGGGCCTAGGCTCTTGGCTGGGCCACTCGGGCTTCAGCACCCATGGCCCTCCACATGTGGCCCCTAGTGCCCCAGTGCCCCTTCTATGGGCTTCTACAGGCTTCTACGGCCTTCCTGCACCCACAGCCCTCCACGGCCCTCCACAAAATTCCTGCACCCATGGCCGCAGCATCTCACCTGGCAGGACTCAAGTCCTGATGGAGTCTGACGCGTGCCAGGTACCTAGCCTCAGTTGTGTGATCCTGATCAGGGAGATGGGGGGCACCTGTGGGGGGTGCAGGTGATCCTCATCAGACAGAAAGCAAAGGGCAGAGGCAGCTCTTCCCCAGGGACCCCTTCCCGGCCCTTAGCTGTGAGATGTGATTCTGGGATTTTGTGTAGAACTCAGTTAAAATTCCTTTAATTTGAGGGGGGGGGGCAGTGTAAACACACAGTGAGTCGGCCAGAGAGGCTCAGAAATGAAGCAGCAGTGAGACACGGGCCTTTGAGGGGACAAGACCCCACTGTCCCCAGGGGTGGGAGTGGCCCCGGCTTAAGCAGGTCAGGCCAGGCCAGGGGCTAGGTGCCAGGGGTCCCTGGAGCCACATGGGTGCGTGGTGCTGAGAGGGGCTGGCACATGCTTTCCCGGGGCTTCTGAGTACCTCGCCAGCCCTGGCCTGGGAGAGGGGCACCTCCCGCCTCTCCCCCGCTCTGCTGCAGCATGGCCAAGCTCGTCGTGTCCAAGCGCCCGAGGGACACACCCCAGCACGGGGCATATGCTGCTGCCCCCATTTCTGAGCATTGGTCAGGTGACGGGGTGCAACCCCCATCTCTCTAGCTGGTGCCCCCCCCCCCGAGCCCACCGAGGTGCCCTGCACCTGCCTGGACAAAGTGACCGCCCAACAAAGCAGGATGTTTCCTGGGATGTGGCTGGCAAGGAAGGAACATGGGGACATGGCACTGGGGGCCGCATGTGCACTATCATGGCCCCACAGTGCACGTGTGCATGCACGCATACGCAGCACACAATCCCCCCCATTGTGTGTATACACGTACACACATGCTGCACACATGCACAGACACGCACGCATCACACACATGTGCACATGCATGCACCACTTGAGTGCACAGATGAACACACGCAAACATGCATGCAAATACGCATGCATGCATCACATGAGTGCACACATGCAAACACGTGTGTGCAAACACATGTGTGCAAACACACGTATCCCTGCTCCTTTTCGGCCACATGTATGTGCTCTGAGTGAGGCTCTTCTGCTCACACTGACGCTCTTACAGTACACAGACGATGACACTGGGCATGGCCCCGCCCGCGAGGTGCCAGCAGGAGAACAGGGGCCGTTTCCCTCAGACACTGGGCTGGCACCTTTTCTCCTGTCCGACCCACATCAGGGTCAGCTTTATTCGAGCAGGTGTAGGGACCGTGGACCGTGGACAGTGGCTGTGCTAAGGGGTCTGCGGGAACCGTGGACAGGCCCACGTGGACCTGCTTCTCCGTCTTCCAGCCAACACCATGCTCGTCTCCCCACCCCAGAGTTGCATGTACAAGCACAGCTGTTGCTTGGAGGAAGCCTCGTGACTGACAGACACTGGGGAAGCACGTGGCCCAGGCACCTGCTGAGCCGACTCACGACTGACTCCGGCACGTCTGTGCACATGCGCACTCCCTGCTGTTTGTCTGTGGCCATCGGGCTGACAGGCCTCCGCTTAATCCCGACATTTTCCTCTTGGATGGAAAACCCAAATACGTGTACAGAAAGATGTGTGCCTTTCAAGGCCAGCTCTTACCAGGTCAGCGGTTCAGGCTGCCTGGCATACTTGGAGGACGGGCATGACCCGGGTTCTCAGCTCATGCTGCTGCTTGGGGATCCCCATTCCCAGGCTCCTCATGGTTCTGGAGGCAGCGAGTGTGTGGAGGGGGCGTGGCATGTGCTGTATGCTGAGAGCTGGGGCCCAGCTGGACATCGACCAGTGTCTGCTGACTGTCCCCCTCTCTTCATCAGGAGCTCCGCCCACATAGCCTGGACCCCTGGGTCAGCGCAGGTGTGTGTGTGGGAGAGGGGCGCAAGAGGGGCACCCTCTCCCTGCCCACCTGCCCTGTCCATCCCTAGTACCTGCAAGGATGGGGCGTCCATGCAGGCTTGGTCATGACTGAGAGGCTGGTGCAGGCCTCAGCAAGTGGTTCCCACAGCAGTGCCCAGAACTCTGTGGGGGCCCCAGGACAGGCCTCTCCCCACACCTCATCGGGAGGGAGCACGGCAGGAAGGTCCCTGGGGGATCTTCTCGGCCTTACATTTTCGGGGGGAGCTGGGGTGGGCGAGTATGAGGACCCTCCCTCTCCTCCTGCAGCTCAGCCCTCAGCCTCAGCCAGACTCAGGGTACCATGCTGCAGATGTGGGGTGATTCCGATGGCATTTGCTGCCTCTGGTGCCCATCTGAGCCCACCTGAGGCCCACCCCTCTCTTCAGTGCTCAGGAGCTTGCTCAGCGCAACACCTGCGGCCATGGGGCTACCGGGTTTTTACTCAAGTCCAGGGCCGGTGCCTGACCTGGGGGCAGGGGTGGAGGCAAGTGTTGGGGCTCAACCAACCAGCTCCGGCAAAACCCTGAAGTCTGCATGGGGTGAGGTGGGGGACCTACGGCAGTAAAGATGCCTCTGGACCAAAGGCGGAAGCAAAGACACCTCCTTTTGGGGCATAAAGCTGCTAAAAAATCCTTTAAAGTTAAACTTCCACACTGATGCTGGAAGTCACTTTATTTTGTTTGGAGGCTGCATCTGGAAGGGCTCAGGGGTTACTCCCTGCTGGGTGCATAAGGGGTCGCTCCTGGAGGTGCTGGGGTGGTGGGGGTCAGGCCTATCATAGCCCCCCACCCAGGCTGTGCTCCAGGCCCCAACATGGAAACATTTTGATGGGGGGAGGAGAATTTGCCTCCAAGGCAGCAGTAACTCGGAATTGGCTCCCTGTAGGGCCTCCCCACACCCCTTGCTGGGACAGATGGACAGTAGATGCTGGCCGATAAGCCGGCTCGGCTGCTGCCCTCGGAGCTCCAGACTCCAGACACTGCACGCAGCTGGGCCAGGGCAGAGGCAGCCGAGGACGGCGTGGGGAATGACCAGGGCTGGCCGCTGCAGGCTAGCCCTTCCCAGGGGACGCAGGAGAGATAAACAATCTTCCCTGTTCCATTTCTCCTCCTTCCACCCCTGGAAGCCTGCTGGGGACGCCGTCCACCACAGCCGGGACAGGAAGGACTCCCAGGGGCAGGGGAGGGGGCTCCCAACCATGCTTCCTCTGCTGAGGGCCTCTAGCTGCTGTGCATGTCCTGACTGTGGCCTCAACTCAAGAAGCCAATCTGAGGGCGAGGGGCTGGGCAGGAGGAGGAGGCGGCGCTTGTCCTGGGGAACATGGGGATCCACAGTCAGGATCCTGGCCCAGGGGGCGACACTCACTGACTTAGGAAGTGACCTTGGCTCTGACCCTTGACCTGGGGCCACCCAGCCCCTCCCCCACTCACACAGACGCAGCTGGGACTGGCCGTGGGAAGGTTCTAAGTAAGCGCCGAGAACACGGGCTGGGTTGAGCCGGGCCCTCCCCACACCCACCCATCCCCGCCTGCTGAGCCGGGTGCACTCCAGGCAGACTGAGGCCCCACGGCGCCAAGCGGCTGGGAAGCAGAGTGGGCAGGGCCCGTCTGTCCTTGAAAAGCACACAGCTGGCACCAACTTGGAGGACATCAGTGTCCTTGAAGCCCACCAGAACCACACGTGTGTCTGTACGTGAATTTTGTATTTTCCACCACATTCTGAGCATTGGCATGTCCCCTCAGCAGGGAACGTGACCTCCCTGCAGAGGCCAGGGCTGGGCAGGGGGTCCCAGGGCAGCCCCCACACGTGGGAACATGCAGCACCATCCATGTCCTTGGACAGCGAGGGGAGGAGGGGCAGGAGGCAGAGGCCCAGCAGGTACACGGGGGCCCACCCCCTCCACCTTCCTGCACCTGTTTCCCTGGGGAGGGGTGAGGCTTGGTGGTGCGTCTGAGGTTGTGCCCAGTGATGCGTGGGTGGGGGGACCTGGAAGGGCCACCTCTGGTCCCTGCCTGAGGTTCTATCAGACGAGGTCACACTGCTGACTTCACAGGGCTGCCCATCCCGGCCCATGGCCCTCTGCGCCTCCCGTCCCCCCATCCCCGGTGAGGAGGCGCTAATGTCCGTGTGCCCGGGATGGGCCCGGGACAAAGGCTGTGTCCACGTCAAAGGGGTGCGCGGCCAGATAGTCCTGGTACGCCCCATCCAGCAGTTGGGCCGCACTGCGGGCAAACCAGCAGTCAACCTGCTCCTCCCCATTGTAGATCTTCCTCTGCTTCCAGAACACTGGGGCGCTGTGTCCTCGGACTGTGAGCTTGGCTGCTGGGAGTGGAGGGTCCCCAGGGTGCTGGGGGGGCTCTGTAGGCTGTGGTGTGAGATTGGCGTCCTGGCCCAGGAACTGGCCTGAGGACAGAGAAAGCATTAGGCCAGGCCCTAGGCAGGGACCTCATGCATGGGTCCCCTCACACCCCCAACCCCTCTGGGCATCAGGGACCAGGAAAGGCACATGTGTGGCCTGGGAGGGGCCCATGGCCTAGGTGGCAGCTGGGTGTCCACTCGCCACAGCACCTAGTGGCTGGGGGATGCTCTGTCCACACGCTTCCACGTCCACTGCCCAATCACCCTGAGGCAGCCATGGGGTGGATGAACAGAGCTGGGCCAGGACTCTTCACTGTGGTCCCTCCTGTTTTCTTGACTCTCCCACCAGACTCCCCCCCAGGTCATGCACGTGCATACTCAGGCCCGATGTCTGGGGGTGGGGAGGGGTCAGCGGGGAGGAGTGCCCACCTAGGAGCCCGTGGCAGTGCCCTGAGAGGCCAGTGCTGTTGGCAATGTAGAAGCCCAGGTGGTCTCGCTGGAAGGGCGCTGGGTTCTTGTAGAGGTGGATGAGGATGACGAAGGCCACAGTGCCCTGGATGGTGACTGTGACATTGGCCCTGGCCGCCACGGCCACCTGCAGCCCCCAGCGGCTCACCACGGTGCTCTGGTTGCAGGGGAGGACCAGCCTGTCCTCGCCGTCCACGATGACGCGATGGGGCGAGATCTCCAGGTACGACCTCCGGGGCTTGTTGGCCAGGATGGTGAGCGTGCGGAAGTACGTGCGCTGCTTCTTGTGGCCGCCGGGAGGCGCGGGCGCCCCGATCAGCTCCCCGTTCACAGTCACACCTGGAAGGCAGGAGTGCAGTGCTCAGACAGGGCTGTGTCCATCCAAGACCATCAAAGGGCATTTCCTTCTTCCTCACCCTGATCTCTGCATCTGCAACTCCAGGGACCTCAACCCCAGATGGAGGCCACATGCCATCTGCCACGGGAGCAAATGAGTAAGTAGATGCGTGAGTGAATGTGCAGGGGATGCAAGAGTGTGAGGTGTGGGTGAGTGCAAGGAGAGGGGCAAGCATGAATGCATGAAAGGATGCACGAGTGAGTGCATGAATGAGTGCATGAGAGCATGAATAAATGCATGGGTGGGTATGTGAATGAATGCGTGAGTGCACAAGTGCAGGAATGAGTGCATGGGTGATTGTGTGGCTGACTTCATGGGTGAGTCTGTGATTGAGTGCATGGATGAATGTGTGGATGAGTGTGCGGTTGAGTGCATGCGCGTGTACACAGTGAATACATGAGTGGACATGGGCGGATGTGTGAGTGGGTGAATATGTGAGTGAGTGAACACATGGATAATGCACGCGTGGGTGCATGAGCACGTGGGTGATGCAGGAACAGACACACGAGAGGCTGAATGTGTGCATGAGTGAATACACGGGTGAACGCAGGTGGATGTATGAGTGGACACATGGGTGGACACGTGACAGTGTGTGAGTGGGCCAGGAGGGGACACTCAGCAGAGTGCATTTTCCCCTCTCTGACCAGTGTCCTGGGGCTAGGGGAGGACAATGGGTTTGGGATCGCTCAGTGGCTAAATGGCCTTGTCACAGGTTCGAGTCTGTAGCTCCTCCTGAGCACTGCCTGCAGGTGCTGAGCTCAGCCCTGAGAGCTCCACTGTGTAGGGGCACCAGTACCTCTGCAGTACGAGGCCCCCAGAGCGTGTCCTGTGTGTGAGCACAGCCACAGACACCGGAGAATGAATGAGCTGCGGACACAAACGAGGGCAGCCACAGACACGGAGACCACGAGTGAGTGAAACCATGGACATGGAGACCACAAGCAAGTGAAGCTATGAACACGGAGACCATGAGCGAGTGAAGCCACGAACAAGGAGACCATGAGCGAGTGAAGCCATGGACACAGAGACCACGAGTGAGCACAGCCACAGACACGGAGACCATGAGCAAGTGCAGCCAGGGACATGGAGAGCACGGGTGAGTAAAGTCACAGACATGGAGACCACGAATGAGCACAGCCACAGACATGGAGACCACGAGTGAGTGAAGCCACAGACTCTGTGGCCTTGTGCTTACCGGAGTGCGTGTGGTCGGACACCAGCCTCAGGATGTCCCCGGGCCGCCCATCGATGTTGAAGCACACAGCGAGCTTGTTGCGGGGGAAGTCCACCACAAAGTGGGGGTCTCCGTCCGCTGCAGCAGAACCAGCAGCAGTGAGGGGTGTCCTCCCCTCAGCCCGGCCCCGTGGTGGAGGCACCCATCTCCTGGGCTGGACCTGACAGATCTGCATCTTCCCGCCGCCTCTGGTGCCAACAAGCAGGGACCCAGCCCCTCCCCTCCGGCCCCCCTCTCAAAGCCCCCCTCCACACCCACCGCCTTCTTTACCTGAGGTTTTAGAGATCTTAATTCTGGGGTCAGATGCCTTCTGGGGTGCAGGTTCTAGAAAGGAAAAGCGAGAGAGTAAAGAGAAGCTGGTGGAGAGGCTACTGAGGTGCGGGCAGCATGGACAGAGGGCGGTGCTTGTGTTCTGTGGAGCTGGCTGGCGGCCACAGGACCTCTCAGGCATGTAGGGTTTCCCGCCTTCTGGGTACCACATAGGGGACCCCTGCCTTGGTTAGGAGGCGGTTCTGGGGTTGGGCTCAGGCTTCACTCAGGTTCAACCCTGGCACATGGTCTCCGGGCATAACCAGGAGTGACCCCTGAACACCGAGCTGGGAACAGCCCTTGAGCATCACCAGGTATGGCCCCCCCTAAAAGGTGAGTGGGTCTGAGGGAGGGGGAAGTGGGGCTGTTCAGTGGGAACCAAATTCCAGGTCTGTGGGGTAGAATCATGATGGTCCCTCCACTCCATGAATGGGCCTCCAGCTCCCAAGCTTCTGGAGCACAGGATGGTTAAGGCTTAGCCTTCAGCCCGTGCCCAGGTCTGAAAGGGGCTTTAACCCTCAGAGCCCCACGTGTGTGGCTTCCTGTGAGAACGTCATCAAGCCGCAAAGCCAAGGTGCACAAGGACCGAGCGGCCCCAAAACGATCCTTTCTGTCGGCAAAATGAGCATCTTTGGGGACCCAGCGCGTGGCCCAGTGGGGAAGGCACTGGCTTTGCATGCAGCGGGTCTCTGTTCAATCCTCAGCACCCTGTAAGATCCCCTGGGTGAGTCCTGAGTGCAGAGCCAGGAGTAAGCCCTGAGCACCGCCAGGGGTGGCCTGTTAACAATGCCAAAAACTCCCACGCCCACATCCAGGCCCTACATGGGAGGGCAGGGAGCCACACCTGAGTCCCGACCTGGGGCATATCGGGGACAGGGACCATCTCTGCATCTCCACTGCCCCCCAACCCCGGGCCCTGGAGCTGCAGGCCCCAGTGGGCACGAGGCACTGCTGCAGGGGGTAGGGGGCTCACGGGTGTGCACACCCTCGCTGGAGTCTGTACCTCGAGGGGGGCTGGAGCCATGCAGGGCCTGTACCACGGTCTCGGGACCCTCTACGGCAGCTGTGCCGGCCCCCGGCTCAGCCCGGGCGCTGAGAGGCTTCAGCCTCAAGGTGGTGACGGGCGAGAGGAAGTGGAGGTCCACAGCCAGCGCCTGGGCCGCGAGCCTCAGCCGCTCCCGCTCCTGTGCATCCCGGCTGTGCAGCCACGCGCGCAGCAGCTCCTGCACCGACAGGTAGCCCCAGAGGCGCTGTAGTGGGTTGGGGGCCCCCAGGCGGCCCTCACGCCCTGGCCCGGGCTCCACAGCCACGTCCGTCTTTAGGACAACAAACTTGTGGCTGTTGCTGGCCGTGACCTCCACGTGCAGCGGCCCCTCCCGCCCGCTGGCCAGCCTGCCAGCCACCACGATCTCGGAGCCATTGAAGTAGTTGGGGAACAAGGTTCTGGTGGCCTGCTCCACGGCGCCGGGTGGGTAGTCAATGCGGATGTCGGAGAGCAGGGGGGTTCGGATCTCGTCATAGAACCTGGACATGAGGTGGAAGGGAAGAAGGGGATCAGGGCCCCACCCCATGCCGGGCGCAGCTGAACCTTTGTGGACGGAGGTGTGTGGCTTGGTTGCCACCGGGGATGGGGAGCTCACTTCCTCACAGGGCTTCCTCCCTCTTTTCTTTCATTTTATTGGGGGGCGTCTCCTGAGCACCCGTTGGGTCTGGGGTGACTCTGGGATAGCTGGGCTGTGGGTGAGTGCAGGGGCCCAAGGAGGTGGTCCCGCTCAGCCCTGCGGCGCTGGGGCCTCCTGGAAGCCACAAGCCCTCCCCCGGCCCAGGAGGACGGTTGGGACAGGGAGGCCCCGCACCCGATGAGCTGTGCGCCTGCATCCTCCTCCTCCAGCACGCGCCGCGTGAGGCCACAGTTCTGCAGGGACAGCTGCTCCAGCAGTGCGAAGTCCACGTCGCTGCCGATGCCAATGGTGAAGATGCAGACACGGCCACGCGCTGCCTCCCGCGTATGATTCAGGATCCTGGGCGTGTGGGTCTCACCCACCGTGGGCTTCCCGTCCGTCAGGAAGACGACAAGGGACACGCTGCGGTCCTCGATGGCGTTGTGGGCCACATAGGTGGTGAGGAGCTCGATGGCCCGCTGCAGGGCGCCATGGATGTCCGTGCCTGCGGGCAGCACCATCACGCCACAGGGGCTGGGGAACCTCTAGCAGGGCGGCCCCTGCGCCACGTTCCGGCTGCCACCCTCCAGTGCAGAGCCCTGAGGCACTGAGCAGTGCCCGAGATCACAGCACCTTGGGTACTGGGAGGAGCCCCCAGTACCAGCCCCCAGGTACTGGTGGGAGCTGGCCTTGAGAGTGTCCAGAAGAAACAGCACAGGGCGGAGGACGCTGACCGTGCATGCAACTCACCCAGGCTCCACCTCACTCACCTCCCCCACCCCCAACCCATCCCATCCCTCCCCACCCCCCCAATTCCCCACCACTGGCTCTCCATCCTCCATCCCTCAGCTCTATATCTCTCCATCCCTCCATCCCCCACCTCTGCATTCCCCATCTCTGCATCCCCCATCTCTCCATTCCTCATCTCTCATCTATCCTCCTCCACCCTCCATACCTCCATCCCTCCATTTCTCCATCCCTCTATCTCTCTATCTCTCCATCTCTCCAGCACCATCTCTCCACTCCCATCGCTCCATCCCTCCATCTCTCCATCCCCCATCCCTCCATCCCTCTGTCTCCCATCTCCCCATTCTCCTCATCCCCCTTCCCCATCTCCCCATCTTCTCTGTTCCTCAGAACTCACCACCGCTGGGGGTCATGTGGTGGATGTAGACTTTGCCGTCTCGGACACTGTCGGGAGTGACGGGGACCAGGTGATCCTTCCACACTTTGACGCGGTTTGAGAAGCCGATGATGTTGAACCGGTCCTGCGGTCGGAGGTCGTGCAGGATGGTGAAGAGGGCGTCCTTGGTCTGGGCAGACACAGAGCACAGCAGTCACCTCCGTGGGCATGGAGGTGATCACCTGCTGTGCAAAGAGCTTGGGCAACGGTCGCCGAGTTGCAGACAACAGCAGAACACGTTCCGAGGCATCTGTGACTCAGAGGGCGTCCTACCCCCAGAGCTCTGCTCAGCTGCCCGCGCTCTCCAGAATCTTCTTCCGGTGCCCGTCTATGTTTTCCCAGACACGCTCCCACCTCCATCAAGCACGTCTGTTCCTGAAGAGAACCTCCTCTGCCTCCTTGGTCAGCACTACCCTCTGCCCCGGAGCCCTGTCCTCAGTGCCAGGAGACAAGGGAGGTCCCCCGAACACATCTGGGGTGGGGACGTGGCTCCCACACTCACCCCAGGGTCCCAGCAGGCAGGTGCCAGCCCCCATGTCACAGGGAAACCAGAGAATCCACATGCCTAGAACAGGGGACTGTTCTAGGCAGACCTAGCTATCGCCCAGAGATGAGGGGACAGCAACTACCCCAGAGCCCACTGTTGGGGACCACCACCCAAACCCACACATCAGAACGAAGTGGGAGTTTCAGGGCTGGAGCCATAGCACAGTTGGGAGAGCGCTTGCCTTGCATGCAGCCAGCCTGGGTTCGATTCCTAGCATCCCATATGCCCCCCCCCCCCCCCACGAGCACTGCCAGGAGTAATTCCTGAGTGCAGAACCAGGAGTAACCCCTGAGGATTGCCCAAAAAGAAAAAAAAATAAAAAGCAGGAGTTGCCCACACCCTCAGCTCTGGCATGGGTCCCCGCAAGAGGGACTGAGTGTCTCAAACAGCCGCATGGAGTTTGTTCTCTCCACGGACATCACCTTCACTTCCTTCCTTGGACAATGCTGGGCACATCCTGACAGCAGCCAGAAGTCAGGGTGCTACAGCTGCTTCCAGATGAGGGCTGTCAGGAGTGGGGTTCAGCCCACAGAAGATGCAGAGACCTCCCCCCAACACACACACACAAACACCCTCAGAGGCAGAGCGTAGGCACGGGGGTCCCAACGTTCCCCAGACACATCCCATGTGACCCAGATACTCAGGCCCACGAGGCAAGAGCACTGGGCTGGCCAGCAGGACGCCGGGGGCCACCTCCTGGTTCTGGACTGTGGAGCAGAGAGTTGGAAAATATTCCCTCTGAAAACAACGTCTTAGAAGTTCACGCCAACTGGGCCTGAGGGTTTGCGTCCAGGAATCGGCCGCAGTGGGCTGTGCTCCAAACTCCTCTGAGCCCAGGCTGGGGGCAGCAGGCATGGCAGAGCGGGGCTCCTGGAGCCACTGGCTGCCCTGGCGAGGGATGGGGACTGCCCGCTCCCTCCTCCTCTCCCCTGCAGAGCGGAGTCCCCACAGACTGCAGGTTCTCCAGGCCCCCCGAAAGGCGGGCGGGCATGCTGTGGAGCCTGCAGCTAGGAAACACTTCCCGAAGGGGAGAGAACAGCACAGAACCTGGCCCCGGGGAAAATCTGGCCAGGGGCCAGTGACCCGCCCAAGCCACCCCCGGCTTCCCGCAGCTGTTGTCAAACCCAGCCCTGTCCGCGCCAACCCAGCACAGAAGGCGTTTTGTGCCCGATCCCTGCCTGGGTATGGGCCTCACACTCAGTGAGTCCATGACGTCATAGGAAAAGATGCAAGGCACAGCGTCGCAGAAGAAACCCAGGGAGACCGCCGTCTGTGCGCCTGTTTCTGCAGCCCATGTGCCACTCTCTCCTCAGGGGTGACCGGGGCCGGAGAGGCAGACAGGGGTGAAGGTGCTGTTCTCGCACATGGCCAACCCTAGTATGATCCCTTACATCATATCGGGTCCCCGGAGCCGAGAGTGAGCCCTAAGCATAGAGTCAGGAGTAAGCCCTGAGCAATGCTGTTGTGCCCCAAGCCCACCGCTAAAACAAAACAAACAAACAAACAAAAAATAACCAAAATAAAATAAAGGGTTACCAAGCAGTGCCCCCGTCTCTTACACAGGCCTCCCGGGCCTTCTGATGAACAAAGCAGAAGTCATACAGGACACAGGGAATAAGGGACCCAACCACGGCGCCTAGAGCCACAAGTTCACCTGTGGCAGTTTAGTAAACCGAACAACTTCGTAGAAGCTAAACATCAACTTGCAATTTCACCCAGAAGCAGGTGTAGAAAGCACTGTCTCTGACCTTTACATTTCTAGAAAGAGTTGATTCTGCATTGAGTAAAATCACAAGGCTCCTTTGAAGACATTCCTATGAAAGGATCCACCTTTTATTTCCTTTGAACTTCTGTTTGAATTCCAACTCTGCAATGCTTTCTGAGGCCCTGCCAGGCTGACCCCCCGCCTCCTGCCTCTGGTGCCTCACCTCCATACATATTTGCAAGAAAAAAATAAAACTCCTCTTTCGTAAAAGCTAGGACCTAAGTCCCAGTACACTGCAGGACGGGATCTTCCAAACAAGGATGGAGAGAGGAAATTAGGCTGCCCTCTGACCGAGCTGGGCAGGGCCGCCTCTATAATGTGACAGCCGGAAGCTCAGTGCCTACGGGTCTGGGTGGCATCCAGCGCCCTCTGGGTCTGTGGCATTCTGACTGAGGGCGCCTGAGGGTGAACTCACACCCGGCTATGTCACAATGTGTTTCTCGTGTTTGAGAAATGCCTAACAATGCCCTTCTGCAACTTTTCCTAAGAAGCTTTTTGCACTAAGAGTCTTTGACTGTCCAGCCCGTGCTGGACGCAGGACTAGCTCCAGCCTGCAAGTGTCGTTTCTAAAATTTCTCACAGAAGGGCAGTCCTTGTTGGTGTTACACCGGTCTCTCTGCCCCAGTGCACGTGGGTCTGTGGCAGGGAGGGCCGACAATTCAGAGGCGACACAACCAAGACCAGGTCTGCGGTCCTGTCCCTGGTCCACAGCTCTCCCAGCTTGCAAATGCTTGAGTGTGTGTATGTATGTGTGTGTGTGTGCATGCATGTATTAGTATATGTGTGTATGTGTATATGTATGTGCGTGTATGTGTGTGTATGTGTGTATATATGTGTATGTGCGTATGTGTGTATATGGTGTAAGTGTGTATGTGTATGTGTGTATGTGTATGTGTGTGTGTGTGGGGGGGGGGGTCCCGTGGCAGGCTGCATTGGGAAGCCCTCCCATCAGCCCCTGGGTGAGGAGTCTGCTCAGAACACCTGGCCGGAATCCCATCCAGCCTCGCCATCCCTCTTGCCTGCCACCCAGACAGCAGCCTGAGGGCACTCCCCAGAGTTTTACCTCTATACAACCACAATAGCATGAAGAAACAGCGCAAATCTCCACTATGAGGAGAGGACGAAGAAAAGAGTCCCGAATTCTCAACAGGGATTACCCACAACTACGATCTCTCCGATAAAGAATTCCGAGATGAAATGCTGAAAATGTTCAAGGAACTACTCAAAGAATCAATGGAGCAGACATCCAGGAAATTAAAGGAAGCAATGAAAGAAACAGTGAAACGGATAGTTAAGAAAATTCAGAACACCTGGCTGGGAACCTGGGGGAGAGGGGGCGTCCTGCTGACAGGGAAACAGGCCAGGCTGCCTCTTTGCAGACGTCTCTCAGCTCGTCTCTCTGTCCTCGCACACTGCCAGTGGCCTCACCCCACCAGCCGCACTGGAACATCTCCTCCACAGGTGAGCGAGCGGCCACACAGCAGATGCTGGCCTTGCGGGTTTATATTTGCAGAGAGAACTGCAGGGCCAGCAGGGTGAGGGGAGCGTGCGTGCCCAGACTCACTTGCCGGAGCTTGGTCCCCACCATGGACGCGCTGCTGTCCAGCACAAACACGATGTTCTTGGGCAAGGGCGGCAGGTCCTTGGGAGCAAAGTAGTGGACGAAGTAGCCGTCGAGGACCTGGGGGAGGAGAAGGTGATGGGGAGCCCGGCCCCAGGGTTGACGCACAGCAGTAGATGGTCCAACTCAGATGCCAGCACCAGAGGAGCACTGTCCCGAGCTTACTTAACTGTAAACTTAAATCTGAATAAGAGCCACATCATCCCTGCAAGAGAGCGCCACTATTGAAAGCACTTTGCTCTGTGTCCAGGAGTCCTGATGAACAGCCCCTCATAGTCCCTTGAGCAGAGAGCAGCTCCTGACCATCCCTAGGTGTGGCCCCCAAACAAAACAATTGGTAACTAAGTCAACTGTCACATTCACAAAATGCTGTGGATTTTGTCACCTCCCCCTCCTGCCCCCCTCCCCTCACGCTTCCAGCCCTTGTCCCTCTGCCTTCCTCCCAAGCTTCACCTGCTGTCTTACAAGCTGAGAGGTCAGGATCAAGCATCCAGTGTGGAGGTGCTGTCACACATCTTCCTATTCACAGCCCATCTCTGCCAGAACCGAACCCCAGGACCCAAGAGCCACGGATCACTTGCTCTTCATTAAAACTGAAGATAAACTCACATTCTAACCAAGTCTAAGCCCCCATGGGGGAAATTATGTTATGGATTTCATTTGCTCTCCTGCCTACTGAAGTAGGAAGTAAGACACTCTCAGCCTCCATAGGCCCACCAGCCTCCTGGACACAGAGTCCAGTTCAAACAAAATGTCCTAAGGACCCCCAAATCTCTCTTCCTTGGGTGAGCACTGGAATTCCTAATTTTGAGTTAAAATGGAAAGGAATTCCTTTTGGTTAGCGAAAAGGATCAAGCAATGGGCAGAAAACAGCTAGTATGAACCCTGTTACCTGGATATTCCTGTAGCATGAGCCCCGTTACCTGAGCATTCTCATAGCATGAACCCTGTTACCTGGGCATTCCCGTAGCATGAACCCTGTTACCTGGCCATTCCCGTAGCGTGACAGCATGAACCCCATTACCTGGGCATTCCCGTAGCATGAACCCCGTTACCTGGATGTCCCCAATGTTTTCTTCCCGGTTGACATCGTAGCGAACAATGAAATCTCCCAGGATTCCATTCTGGGCAATCTTGGCCTGTTGAACCACACTCGGCTTAAACACAACTTTGGCAAACGTTTCATTCTGGCTGATGACTGTCGAAGGAGGTGGCCCGGAATCCACTGCAAGAAGAAGCGCATCAGCCTGAGACTTGGTGTAGACTTCTCTGAGCAGAGCCCCAGGCCTGTGGGGTGTGACCATAACTCAGCCACGGGGCTGACCTTCAGAGGAACATGCAAACCTGGTCACTGGCACTACATCACCACAGGAGAGACCCGCTGTTAGAGTCACCTCACAGACTTTACGCGTCTTCTCTGAATTCATTAGACATAATTATTAATCTTATTTTCTGTCATGGGGAGCTTGCCAGGCTCTGCCGTGCAGGCGAGATACTCTCGGTAGCTTGCCGGGCTCTCCGAGAGGGGTGGAGGACTCGAACTCGGGTCAGACACAGTAACAACAAAGTCTCCAATGGAGACGTTACTGGGCCCGCTCGAGCAAATCGATGATCAATGGGAGGGCCTTTACCTTTAGTTTTATTTTTCTGTAGCTATATATGTAATCATTAATCACTGTCAGTCACTGTCACTGTCCTCCCATTGTTCATCGATTTGCTCGAGTGGGCCCAGTAACGATTCCATTGTGACAACTGTTACTGTGTTTGGCATATCGAATTTGTCACAGGTAGCTTGCCAGGCTTTGCTGTGCGGGCAAGATACTCGTGATAGCTTGCCGGGCTCTCCAAGAGAGGCGGAGGAATCGAACTCGGGTCAGCCATGTTGGATGCTTGCAAGGCAAACGCCCTACCCACTATGCTATCACTCCAACCCTGTAATCATTAAAATTCTGTGTAATAGTTCTATTAACTTGGGGTGTTCTGGACCACTCCAGCACTAGGGGGCTAGTCCTGGTCCTGTGCTTGGGAGCAGCCCCGGGAGGAGCTGCCGTATCTAACACCCATACTCCAGCAACTGAATAACCCCCAACCCTACTGGGAATGCTAGACAGACAAGAGTAGAACAGTAAAATAAAGCCCCCAGGCCCATGGTCTGGGTGGGTCATGCCAGCACTGCACCATGGCCAGCACTGCACCAACCTTACATCACTGTGTTTGCATCTTGTTATTTTTCATATTTTATTCATAAATATTTTAAAATAAGTCTCTTAATCTTTTAGTATGACCACCAACTATTATCATAAATTAATGTCGACAGCTTATTGTCACATGACCAGTTTGCATTTTCGTTGCCCATATTGCTCAGAGGATATCTGGAAATGGTCAGTTTGTCCATCCAAACTTCCACATCACTTCTGTTTTAATCCCATTTTATCTACAACTGAATTTATGTCCTCCCTCTATCCCCACTTTCTTCTAATGCTGTGCGTGTGCCTGTATGTGTGTGTATGTCTGTGTGTGCATGTGTGCAGGTCTGTGTATGCGTGCATGGGGGGGGGGTGATATTCCCAGGAATTGTCTCTTTCTGGGCTTCATAAACAGCCTTTCTTTCTTTCTTTCTCTCTTTTTTTTTCTTTTTGGGCCACACCAGCAATGCTCAGGGGTTCCTCCTGGCTCTGCACTCACTCCTGGCAGTGCTTGGGGAACCTTCTGGGGTACTGGGGATCATGTGCAAGGCAAATGCCCTCCCCAGTGTGCAATAGCTCTGGCTCCTCAGCTACTTTTTTTGTTTGGGGCTCAGGTACTCCAGGGTCTAGTTCCAGCTATAATGGGGCCAGTGGTCAGTGTAAGCCCAAGGCTGCGGCTTCTCAGGCCCAGGGGGCCACCCCACACAGTGCTCACTCATGAAGAGCAGGGAAGTTCAATGGAGAATTCTTCACCACCAGCCCTGCGGAGACTTTTCCCCCAGATATTACTGAGTCAAAGCCAGAAAGGCATCTGAATACTTCTTTAAATCTATTTAAGTCGACCCCCTGACATGCTGACCAGCAGTTTCCCATCTTCAATTAGCAAACTAAGAAAGGAAACGAGATATACACTGGCCAAAGCAATTAACACTTCAGAATAAACTTCCTTCTGTGAAGGGTTTCATTCAACATTTCATTCAAAGTCGGCCTGGACATTTTCTTCAGTGAGGCACAAAGAGGAGATCTCAGGGTAGTTTTTAGGCCACAGACAGAAGTGGTCCCGCTGTTACCTACACTTAGCAAAGATAGTGGTTCTAGAAGTTTCCGGAGGGACGGCAAGCAGAAAAGTCCATCTTGTGGAAGACAGCTGGATGAAAGAAAGCATGCATGTAGTGTAGGGTCTCATCTGAGCACGGAGGGGAGGGGACCTCCGTGGTACTTCACCAAACTGCACTGACAAGGCCACACTCTTGTCCATCATGCTTGATGATGTCATTGAGTCAGCAGGAAGGGAGAGGCCAGACATAAGATGGTCCTTGCAAACAAAGGGGACTCTGTGTTCTGAGCTAGGCCCGCACAGCCGACAACTTGGAAAGCTCCAGGAGAGCAAGAAAGCTGCACGCTGGCCACAGTCACAAGAGCTCAGGTGATAAATGAGTGAGCGCACAGGCTCTGCATCCCATCACCACGTGTCTGGACAGGTCACTGGGTCTGGGTTTATTCACACACAAACTGGACTACTGGTCTACCCGCTCGCACTGGGGAGGGGCTGAGGTGATGCTGTGGGCTTAGCATCACTGCACACAGGAGGCAGTCGGGCTGGCGAAGGTCATTATCAACCCAAGCACACACCAAAGGAAGGGCCAGAGAGTGAAAAAGAACAACGACGAGAAAAGCAAAAATGACGTGTGAGGCTTGGGGCATGCCAGGACGAAGGAGTACTTGAGGGCTCTTCACAGCCCGGATGGACCGTGGCATTCTGTGGAAAAGTGTCAGCCATGAGCATAAATCTCGGGCTGGACAGCAGAGCAACTTATCCGTGGCCACTGACGTCCGAATGAGCTTCCCCCGGGTGGGAACTGCTGGGCAGAGAGGCCGGAAATCCTAAGCTGCTAACGCAGGCGCCTGTGTCAGAAGGGTCTCGCTGTGCTGGGGACCCACATCCCCCTGATGGAGACCCTCATTTTCAGAAGCTGAAGCCCATTGGGAGCTGGTGACCAGAACGGCTGCTCCCTGACTGGGGGCATCATGGTGCTCAGGGTCCTGCAGCCCTCAGCTGCCCTCCAGAGGACCCCTCCGTCAGCGGGCATTAGGGGAGCCGCACAGCTGAGGGTCCAGAGGAGCACCTTGCTCCAGAGCTGCCCTGTCCGGGTCCTCATGCCCATGCGGTGCAATGCCCATGCCCATGAGTGCACAAAGGGCCCCTGGGACCGAGTGTCTGGAACTTGCCCGAAGTGCAAATTCTTGATCTCCATCATCAGCCCCTCCGGCAACAGAGCCCAGATCTTTAGACCTGAACCAGCGTTCTAAAGGATTCTGGCTCCTCCATGGGGACCCAGTAAGAGGCCTCTGTGATGCGAGGGCTCCCCCTGGACTTCACCCTCAAGCTCTCCCTTCCAGACCATCCATCTCCCTTCCAGATGGCATTCCAGACCATCAACCCAACTCTCTGCATTCAAATCTCTCTTCCTGAAATGCTCTTCCTAGCTTTCTAAGTGACGGCCTTTTGCATGCATGAAAGCGCTGGGATAACCAAGTCTAATTTCCCTCATCACAATGCAGGCTCTCTGACATGCAGCGCGAGAGGGAGAGAATATCATTGTTTAGGGTTCCTAGTGTCCTTCGCCTTCGCCGGTTCATGATGAAAATTCATGAGCGGCCTCTAAATGGGCTTCTTTTACTCTCCCGCTGGGGACGTGGCCTCCAGACTAGAAGCTTCTGATCTGCTGGGCCGACGCCCGCCCAGCCAACCACCATTCACTGTGGCCCAGAGAGTTTTCCACTATCCATCCAACCCGCCCTCAAGAAATAGTTGCCGGGAGATGCCCAGAATCCTCTCTCTAGATCAAGTCCTCCATTATAGGAGGGGAAAATGACTGTACGGCTCATGCAGGCCACCCACAGCTGCTGACCTCAGCCCTCCAGCAGATGAACTAGCTCGCCCTTGGGGACAGAGGCTGGGGGGCACCCGGCAGAGCCCACCACGCAGAGAGGCTGTTGGTGGGCAGTACCGGAATGTGCTGACCGCATGGGAGAAACGGTCAGCAACAGGCCCACACCAGCAGACTCAGGCCTCACTCCCTCCTGAGACCCCCGCCAGCCCTCAGAGGCTTGATGTCCTCTGCAGGCCCCTGCTACAGCACACGAAGGCAATGGCGCTTCTGAGCAGGCCCCGGTGCCCCCAAGGGTCTGGCCACCACCCCACGTGACCCCAGTCTCAGCCCCCCCCAACCCCCCCCCCCCCCCCCCCGCAGACATGCTCTTGCCCCTGGAAGCCGCCGCAGCATCCACCCAGCCCGCAGGTCTGCGACTATCTCTGCATGTCCATCTGTCTGTCTGCCCGTCCATCCGTCTGTCCTGTTGGCCCACGGGAAATCCACTCCATGTAACGAGGTGGAATACGGGTGCAAGCACAGAGCAAGACTGAGAGGCCGCGGGGCACAAAGCAGAGGCCGTGAGGGTCAGCCTCCCGGGCACGGCCCTCCAGAAGCTGGGCCACATCTGCTTTATCTGGGCTGGGGGGCAACTTGTGGGAAACAGTGCTTGTGCTCAATCTCTCCAAGCACAGTGCTTCAGACCCCCGACCTCAGTGAAGACCACGGCCCAGGCTGGGATGCAGAGAACCCAGCAGAGGGACTGGGAAAAAAGGGAAGGGCTTGGGTGCTGCCTCACAAGCGGCGGACCCCAGCTGGATTCCCGGTCCCTGACCCCCACCCCCAGCACCGCCCGGGGTGACTCCTGAGCACAGAGCAGGGGGTGGCCCCCAGTACTTCCTGGCATGGCCCAAACCCACCCCAGCACACGTAGAGAAGACACGCCTGATCAAAGGAGTGTGGGAACAGAGATGTGTGCGTCCAGAACAGCCTACCGAGTATAATGGAGGGGGAAGGAGGAATCACATAGTGGGAGGGCACTTGCCTTGCACAACGGCCGACCCAGGTTTGATCCCTGCATTCCACAGGGTACCTTGAGCACCGCCAGGAGCGATTTCTGAGTACAGAGCCAAGAATAACCCCTGAGTATTCCCAGGTATGGCCCC